TCTTGCCAGTAATTTCTTCGCATCGTTACCCAATTTCAAATTAGACAAGCATCAACATGCATTTAAAATAGATATACCGAATGACTGGACATGGTTTTTTCTTAGTAGAAATCAACTCTTCTTGTTTTTTCAAGATCCAGTTCATATCGTGACCAAATGGCGTAATCGGTTATTATCATCAACGGCGGACTTATATATTGGAAATGATAAAATTAGTATGACACATATAGAACAACTAATCAATAATAATAATTATACAAAATTAGATCATGATTTGACGAAGAGCGATATTAATCCTAAAGATCGTCAAAATTACAATTCATGTATTAAATTAATATTAGACGATGTAATAAATCTTCTTAATGATAGTATGGATACCAATGGAACAGTTGTTTATTTGACATTGCTAAAAATGATAGTAAAAGCATATATTGATAAATCAACAAGTATTCATGAACATAAGTCTATTTTTAAAATTTAAAAACGAAAAAAATCAAAATTATTAATTCTTAACAATTTCTATGCATTTAGGTATTCAATCAGCATGGTGTGTGGTATTTGTTTGTCGTCTTTGGTGGTCTTATTTAGAAAAAATATCAGCTTTGAAATCATCGAAAACCAGTCAAACAATAAGTGAAAGAAATAATAAAATTAACAAATACTTTATTACTAGACCCGCATATATATCTGTTGAGTTGAACGCACATAATTTATTGTATTTGGTACTATTAGTGAAACAACAACATTTACCTAAACAAAAATTAATTAATATACATTCATTCAATTCACAACCATGTGAGTCATTATTTAGAGATGCAAGATCGTTAAGCAGTACGTTCTCAACGGTCGTCAACTTTACCGTAAAAGATTTTATTCGGCGTTCACAAAAATTATCAATATTGAATCAATTTAGATATAATCAATTGGAAAAAGATCTATCCTTTCCCATACACCACAAACACAAACGCGAACATCTATTACCATCTTTACATCAATTAGATGAAATTGATACATTAGATATTCAACAATTAATATCAAATGCATATGATCAAGCACTACATCTTGTTAAACATTCAAAAATACTAGATACATTAAATGAACATAAAATAAATTGTATAGATGATCTAAGTAATTATATCTTCGACTTGTTAAATAAAAATTCAAGAATGATTAATTATTCTTTCCGAACAGAAAATAACACCACTGAAGAGTTTGGATTGGATGAAGAGAATGATGATAATGACGTCGTAAATTATGCACCAGACGACCTTACTGATGAAATTCTATTTGATTCTCAAAACGACGCTGTTAGCGATGATGATGAAAATATATTAAATTCAACAAAATCAGATTTGAATGGAATAGGAATAGTTGATAATATTAATCCGACTCTAAGACAATTGTATTTCAAGATCAAAATAAATAACAATATTAAGTATCTTCATAAACAATCGGCCTGCTGACTGCAACCAAACCAGATAACGAAATTATCAAGTGATCGTTTATCTCCTGTCATGCAACAAACATCTGATCATAATTACTAAACTTATTGCTCTCATTTTTTCTGTTTTACTAGCGATTACTCTTGTTAGAAGTAAACAAACTAATCGTTCATATTTTTCCAACATTATTTAATTTTGTTCTATGTATATCCAGATCTTTGAGAATACTTTAAAGTACTT